AACAGAAGTTGAAGATTTAAACCCGATATAAGGTCACAAACTTTGTTTTAATCGAGAACATTGTTGGTATACTGTACACAATGGCCAGGTCACTAGAATAAGGTGGTCTGAACGCATTGAACAGTATCTAATCTTTATTAAGCTTTGTTGCTTTAGCGAGGAGCACGGCGGTATTCTATGAATGACTTTGAGTTTGATGCCTGTAATCTTCTTCATAATGGGTCGTGTGGAGAGGGAATAGAGAAGCTCTGCCTTGAAAGGATAGATTTTCACGACCATATTATGGTCCGGTGGGCCCCCACAAGAAAACTAACATAGCCAAACTGCGTCGCCAACCTGAGAAATAACCAGTAAATAACTACCAGCTCAAAAATTGAAGATTGTTAAATTGCAACTAGGATACATATTTTATTTGAATTCTATCCTGGATAAATTACATTGACAGGATAGACTGGGACGGTTAGGTAGGTCACCCGAGGCTGTCACCTCAGCCCTGCCAGTCGTACCTCTGGGGACGTCCCCGGAGGACCTGGGCTAATCTATACCACCATCCGGGCTGGTATAGAAAGTCGGGCTGTTTCCTGCTAAAAGTTTGATACGACGGTCCCTCTAACAAGTAAGGCACAATGAGTGTCTCCTTGTGGGGGAAGATTAACTTTCTACCAGGCACCATGGATCGCTGGAAAAATAGTAGAAAACGGCCAAAAAAGGGAATAGTTTGCCGCTAAAGGGTCAGTTAGCCCGCTAGAGAGATGCAACTCACCGGAAGGAACCCATTTATCTTACATACCACATACCATCACAACAATTGGCCAGTTTGTGTGATTTTGTAGTGCAATTGTTTTCAATGTATTGGACATCGCACGCTTCAACAACACTGGCTGCATAGAAGAAGAATTTAGTTGAAGGAGCTTTTGCCGTTTTGAAGTTTGGATCACCGCGTATCGGAGGGAAGAAAACAACTTTTCGCGGCCAGACTCCCCAGGCCTATTCTCCTCTCCTTTTTGCCGAATTCTACGATCCGTAGTTCCGTAGAAAGACATGGTACAGGCTTGGGAAATAGTCTGTTGCTTTGTTCACAAAAAGACTCTCTGGCCACTATAACTATCATCTTCAAAAAAACCTACACTATACACACACACAACACCCACCAAAACAATATCACACTGTCGAAGGCATGAGACCTCCGAACTCTAGTTTTAATCTAGTACTATCATGAGAGTCCATCTGTGTTGGTAGTTACATGTTTAAAGTTAAAACTTTTAAAACAACACAAAAAATTCTCTCACCTAGAGCTTTCGACCAGTCACTCTGGTCTTCCTCAGGAGACTGACCCAGTAAGGCTTGTCACGTGGCTTCTTTGAAGTGTGACGTCTTTGTGTTGGACCAAAAGTTTTAACTTTAAACATTGTAATCTAGTCTTCACAACGTCTTCAAAGTCTGCCTGTTAAAGTTCCTACAGAGACGTATTTAGTATATGATATGAATCTTTATTGCATGCTCTTGCCTAGATGGGCTAAATGCACAAGAGGATATGCAGTATGTAAATGAGTATTTCATACTGGAACGCTATATTCTAATGCAAATTGCTAGGAATCTAATAGATACATTACAACAATACTATATACTACCTATCATATACTACCTATCATCTACTGTTAGTTGCCCTTTCTTCTCTCTTTTTGAAACATTTGGAAACATAATTACATAGTTTGTCTACTGTACATTCGTTCTTGCATGACATCAAGTGTTTAAGCAGTAATCTGTCGTCTTGTAATTCCCCAAGGAACCCATAGGTCAGTTTTTCTGCTCTCTGTAACCAAGATTTCTGGCAATAAAAATGTAAAAAAACGCATTATGAAAGATTTTGTCAGTTATTGTTAACCTTCATGCAGGCTTGACCCCCTATCAACTGTCAAAATCAACTCCCTTCCCCCACGCAAACGTTGCTACTTGTTGAAACAAACATACACAAAGCAACAATTTAGGTCACCAAAACAGTGCTTCCTTGCCAGTGAATGACTTAATAAGCTCACACATAATCTGGGGATCGGGGTTTATTGTATGTAAGGCCACACCGCCTTAATTTTATGGATGACATCCGCGCGCGCATTGATTTTCGCCAGTTCTAAAAAAAAAAGATTACGTCCTCCCTAGCCTCCGAGGCTCTGGCCTGGCTCTAGGCCTGGGTAGTCCATGGTAGTTAGTGACAATACGGAGCCGGTGGTAACTTTGGAGGACGGCACCCAGACTGCCGAAGCTCCACGACTCAAGAACTCAGTACATACGTACAGTGCCGATTCATAAATCCCGCAAAAAGCCAGCATGTGCCGACTTGTGGTATACGTCGCTATGTACTGCCGTAAATTTACAATACTGGCTTTGTATTCCTGTGGTTTAGTAGCATTTTTTATTTTTGACCTGAATTTTTTTATTCGCCCGCGCGAACTAGTTTGGGTATCTTCAAAGGATGTCATCCATAAGCAGGGGTTGGGTTAGGAGAGCCGCCTGGCGATCCTGTTGTGTTCCCGCAGGAAGACGGTGTGCATGGAGGTCAGTCCCGGCTGCTCGTTCACACGGACGTCCCCAGCCTGCGAACACGTCTCGCTGCCTGTAAGGCCACACCGCCTTAATTTTATGGATGAAATTCTCTGAAGACCCCCAAACTAGTGCGCGCGGGCGAATAAAAAAAATTCCGGCCAAAAACAAATATGTTACTAAAGCACAGGAATGCAAAGCTGGTATTGTGAATTTGCGGCATACAGCGACGTATACGACAAGCCGGCACATGCTGGCTTTTTGCGGAATTTATGAATTGGCACTGTACCTACGTACTGAGTTCTTGAGTCGTGGAGCTTTCGAATTCGGTAGCCTAAGTGCCATCCTCCAGAGTTACCACCGGCTCCGTATTGTCGCTAACTACATTGTACTACCCAGGCCTAGAGCCAGGTCAGAGCCTCGGAGGACGTGATCTTTTTTTTTTTAGAACAGGCGAAAATCGATGCGCGCGCGGATGTCATCCATAAAATTAAGGAGGTGTGGCCTTATTTTTTAGTCAGGCTAGATCTTACATGTATGTATTTGACCAGGGATTTAGCCATTTTTAAGATACGTTGTTACCAGTTGTTAAGTGATCACACACTGTTTACATACACTATACCGTTCTGAATCTGCAAATTTAAATATAAAACTTCACGGAGAACTTGTTTTTCTTTAGAACAGGCGAAAATTAATGCGCGCGTAGATGTCATCCATAAAACTGAATCAGTTTTCGAGGACCCAAAAATCTCCGATTTGTTGTTCAATGTTATGTCCCTTCATACAGATCAGGTTCAAAGTCAAGGTGACTTGAAGGAACAATTATAACGAAAACACGTTACCGCTATTCTCTGTTCCATGGGCTCAAGCCTTACGGACGTTCCGCCCCAGAAACATTCCTGTAAGAGTCTAAATCCTTGAGAGGACCAGCCGGCCCTAGTGTCTGCACGCACCATGCTAATCAGGCTCACTTTTCCTTAGAAGATATAACGGTGTGACACATAGGTAAGCACACTCACGCCTGCTTAGGCCACAGCAAGTAATTTTTATGGATGACATCAGCGTGCGCATTAATTTTCGCCTGATTTTGGTTAAAAAAAACGAAATTTTGTTGGCCTCTGACAGTGGTCAACATGCCGAAAATGGGCAAAGATGTCTGTTGCCATGCCGGAAGGTGCATGGATGGCAGATAACTATGAAGACAGGAGACAATACAAGGCTCTGATTTAATGTTTTGTCTCTTACTTTGATGCAGTGATATGTGATGCTGGCTGTGTATATGTGATGTTCCCACTGAATTTAAACCATTTGTACAATGATTGAGTCAAAATTTTGAAATGTAGGAACCTTGTTTTTTCGGCCCGTCTTGTTTTCTTTTCGCCCGCTCGCATTAGATGCGGAGTCTAAAGAGGATGTCATCCATAAAATTTACTTGCTGTGGCCTAACGGTGTGACACACAGGTAAGCACACTCACTCCTGCTTTAAGCTACACCGCGCGGCAACAGTCTAACATGAGCCTTACCCACATGAAAAGACACCGTGTCACAGAACGTTGGCGTACGTACCAAGTATTTCACAAGAGGAAAACACTTTAGAGGATCTACCGCCATGTGAGACAGCGGACTTTTTCCCGCCAAGGTACTACAAACAACTACAAGACAGCATTACCAAGACGAGAATCTTGAAGACACTCCTCTAAGAGGTAAGGTCACAAGGTACCTAAGAACGTTGGCGTACGTACGAAGTATTTCACAAGAGGAAAACACTTTAGAGGATCTACCGCCATGTGAAACAGTGGACGTTTCCCGCCAAGGTACTACGCAAGAAACTGACTTACGAACGACTACAAGACAACATTACCAAGACGAGAATCTTGAAGACACTCCGCTAATAGGTAAGGTCTCAAGAAACCTAAGAACGTTGGCGCACGGAGTATTTCACACGAGGAAAATACTTTAGAGGATCTACCACCATGTGAGACAGCGGACTTTTCCCGCCAAGGTACTACGCAAGAAAATGACTTAGAAACGACTACAAGACACCACTGCCAAGACGAGAATCTTGAAGACACTCCTCTAATAGGTAAGGTCTACACGGGAATAAGACGGACATTTCAGACATAAGACGATATCCACTGCCATGTGAGAAAGTGGACTAGTACTTTTTCCATCAAGGTACTACGCGAGAAACTGACTTACAAACGACTACAAGACAGCATTGCCAAGACAAGAATCTTGAAGACACTCCTCTAATAGGTAACGTCACAAGGTACCTAAGAACGTTGGCCTACCAAGTATTTCACAAGGGGAAAACACTTAATAGGACCTACTGCCACGTAAGAAAGCGGACTTTTCTCTTTAATGTACTACGCAAGAAAATGACTTACAAGAAACCATTGACAAGACGAGAATCTTAAAGACACTCCTCTAATAGGTAAGAGAACAAGACGGAAATTACAGACATGGAAACGGGAGATTTGATGGACGCATTTGACGCAGATGACATCGTGGCAGCGATTGAAGAAGAACGCACGCGGAGAGAGATGAGGAACCGGCGGTTCAGCGAGACGCTGTCCGAGGCGGCGCAGGAGGCCATGCGGCTGGAGATGCAGGAATCCGCCGCCCTGCGACACAAGTCCTCCCTGTCGTCCGAGATCATCTACGAGCCCACACAGGCGGAGATCCCGCCCGGGTCACCTAACGGCGTGGCGGCGGACGAGGAAGCCTTCGTGGCCGAGAAAAACATTTCTTACGACGAGGAACAGGAGGACGTGTTCTGTGAAGAAGACAAGATGTCAGTCGAAAAACACTAACTCTCACACGAACCGAGGAAGTAAGCTGTTTAACAGAGAAAACACAGGAAGAAGACTAAAAGATACATTTGACAACCTAGCTAGGCAGAAAGAAAAATGCTCAGAGAATTCGAGTGACAAACAGTACGAGCGAAAATGCTCAGAGAATTCGAGTGACAAACAGTACGAGCGTATGCAAAAGCAAATCTAGGTCTTAGTCAAGACGAAGGTTTTGAGACGTATGTATAAATGTTTACATAGTACGACGCCTCTCAGTATCAAGTATCTGTTATGATGTGCATAATTATATAGACCTATTCGGACCTCCAATAGATCTACTAGTATTTGTTCTTATTGTTCAGCTTGGCTGAAAGCAGTGATAAAACGTTCCTACATACGTACAAGAGTACTTAAAGTACTTGGTGGAGAGATTGTATTTCATTATAAGTTGCTTATATTTCCTGATATTATAGGTCCTAGCTTCTGCTTTTCTTTGTGTATAACAGCCCGAAAAATCTTCCGTTGGCTTGTTTTGGAGAAAGAAATTGCGTACCTCAGTATTCTGTGTGAGTACAGTGGCACGATAAAACAACAATTGTACTGTAGGCATACAGGTTACGTAGATGTTGGTTTAACTGTCGGAGCACATAAACGACAAGAGACGAGAAATTCTTCAGTTTTCTGTATGTTACTTGTTGTTATTGTATCATCATTACTATTGCTTATGAAACTGTAAAGCCCTCTTAAGGTATTTTACTTGGTTGATGATACAAATCATCTTTTTAATATCTCCTAAACTCCCCAGGATCTAGACAAGGGCTTGCACTTAAGTACCCCGTTCTGCATCCACATTGTACAAATCGCGTATAGCAGAATCACCATTAAGTGCTGGACTGTTTGCAGACTAGAGAATAGGTATTGCAGTGGGTTTGCATTAGCCTATTCCCTTTGCAATAACTTCCGACATGGCTTCTTGCACTTTCAGGTCACCCCGATAATTCTAATCCCCTTTAGGCCACACGGACTTAATTTTATGGATGACATCCTCTGAAGACCCCCAAACTAGTGCGCGCGGGCGAATAAAAAAAATTCCGGCCAAAAATAAAAATGCTACTAAACCACAGGAATACAAAGCTGGTATTGTGAATTTGCGGCAGTACATAGCGACGTATACGACAAGCCGGCCTTTTGCGGAATTCATGAATCGGCACTGTATGTATGTACTGAGTTCTTGAGTCGTGGAGCTTCGGTAGCCTGGGTGCCCGGCTCCATATTGTCGCTAACTACCATGGACTACCCAGGCCTAGAGCCAGGCCAGAGACTCGGAGGACGCGATTTTTTTAAACAGGCGAAAACCAATGCGCGCGCGGATGTCATCCATAAAATTAAAGTGGTGTGGCCTTACTTTAACGTTTCAAAAGAAGTCGAGCCTATAAGAGGAGGGGAATTTTAGTGGACTATGTTTTCATTAATCAAAATTAGAAGACGTCGAAGTAAATCCATAATGATACATTTTCTTGTCTTTGTTTCTTGTCTTTAGATTTTCATCATGAAAAGTTTTTCGATCATATCGTAGTCGTTTGAGTTAAACGCGGCCAGGCTATGAAATTTACTACATAGAACGTGTGTTCGGATTATTTTAAAGCGATATTATGTAAGATATTCACTATTTTGAACATCGTTGTTTTACACATTTTCCTGTGCTATAGGCCTACTTGGGTTCATAATGGCATTTGGAGAGTATAAGATCAACGTCGTTGCGTTAACTAAACTGTTTGAAGGCTGCGGAAGATACCCGAACGAAAACCGCTGTTTGTTTACATTCTTTTTAGGAGCCTCCTAAAAATACAGCGGGCCAGGGGCAACTTATTCTCACGCTGCGCTGAGTCGCCGAAAAAGCGAAATATTGACGCTAATATGTTTAAAGTTATTATGAAAATGACAGTCTAGATGAGAAAATTTCAACTATTAATATTTACAGTTTTGGCGCAAAAAAACTTACAGAATATCGCTTTAATAACAAATGGCATGAAGTAGTTTCAAATGTTCAAGATATGTCCTCAAATCTAGATCCTCGAAACCAGAATCTAAGCCATGCACTGGTTGTCTAGAACGTACACAGACGTCTGAAGTAAGCGGAGTTTGTACAGCTGCCGGTTTCAAGTGCCCTTCGGGTGGATAAAATGTCGAGTCGTTCTCGTTTTTTTGTTGTTGTTGTCTTGAAAGGATATAATGAGTCTAAGACGAACGTCCTGCCGTACTGTCTGTGTTCTGGGGCGTGAAGACGTCTCAAGAATGTGAAGGACGCCAAGGAAGATACAACTTAATTTTGTCATAACAAACAAAATGGATGATAAGGCCACAAAAGGCCAGCATGTGCCGGTTTGACCATTTGTCGTAAAAGTCGCTACTACCGCAATACCAGCTTTTTGTTCCTATGGTTTAGCAACATTTTGGGCTGGATTTTTATTCCCCCGCGTTTCCCTCCACTAGTTTGAGAGAGAGAGAGAGAGAGAGAGACAGAGAGACAGAGACAGAGAGAGAGAGAGAGAGAGACAGAGAGAGAGAGAGAGAGAGAGAGAGAGTATGGCTTATTCTTTAAAAAAATCTTTGCAGCACCAGTGCTGAATTGCGGTTTCTGTACACATATACGTAATTCAAAAGTTTAGACTTATCAGCATTATATACATCACAAATAAGGATTAAAACAAGTCACAAATCCTAGATAATCGCTACAAACACGACTGAAAATTCTGTTATAACATTGACTAACATTAACTGTCATTTAGTAGGCGGACACAGTCAGGTAGTGTACTGTTTAACAAAAGCTGTGTCCGGCACTTAAACTGTGTCAGTTTCGTGCTGTTTTGTGTTTGGCCATGGGGGTCTTCAGAGGATGCCATCCATAAAATTAAGTCAGTGTGGTCTAAGATGGCCGTTGGATTTAAGCGAGTAAAGATCCAAAACAGCATGACATCATACAGACAGAAATATCAAAAAGAGTCTATAGCTGTTGTCCGCCTATAGGTCGAGTACTTTCACCACTCACCGGTACACACTTTCTCCAGGGCTCTTCAAGGACCTTATAACGAAGGAACAGGTTACCACTTGTAGTTTAAGTGTTTGTCTTTGCGATACAAGGACACGTGAGAACTGTAGCCGCTCTGGTGAACGTTAACCCTTTCGGCGTGCACAGTGGGGTCATGTGGCGTAACGGTAGTGTTCGGCTCAGACCCAAGATGTCTCGGGTTCGAATCCTGCCCGATGCCACCGATCCTGTGCCCTTGGGAAAGGCACTTTACATGACTTTCCTCCCTTCAATCAGGTGAAAATGAGTACCTAGCTTCGGTTAGGGACGTCCCTCGGATAGGACGTTAAATGGAGGTCCCGTGTTTGGGGAGAGCCACACCCCACGCACGTTAAAGAACCCACCACACTTTTTGAAAAGAGTAGGAGACCTCCCCGGTGTAAGTGGTTCAAACCTTACAGTCTGGTCTTACGCAGCTTGTTCATGTACGTACATGTACAAAACTGGTGTGTTTACCGGTTATTACCGGTGTGTGTGTGTGTGTGTGTGTGTGTGTATGTGTGTGTGTGTGTGTGTGAGCACGATAACTCAAGAAAGCCTGGATAGATTGTTTTTATATTTGGTAGATGGGTATGTCTTGATGAGACCTAGAACTGATTAGATTTTGGACCTCCTGGCGGTTTGTTATGGTACTGCAGCGGAACTTCCAGTTTTGATATCTCGTGATCTGGACATGGTAGGGTCACTAAATTTGAATGGTAGGTAGCTCTTGGGCTGGGGAAGAAGTGACATGAGTTTGGCTTGTTCTGGAACTGTAGAAGCATTCGTTGAAAAATGTTCGAAGGAGGATAACTCAAGAACTAGCCTGACTAAATCTGCACTCCTAGCTAGCGGTCGGCCCGGAATTACACCAGCCGCCCCCCCCCAGAACCGATTGACGGATCATCATGATTTTTGCTATGTGTGTAGCTAAAAGAATACTTGACACATTGAAATGATAGTTATGCAAATCAGCATATGATTATTCAAACATGTGGCATGTGTAATTGGGAAGAAGAAGAACATTGACAGATAGTGGTTATGCAAATGAAGGCCTAATTTGCATACTTAATGCGAATCGTCAACATTCCTCAAGGTCCAAGGGTAATATCATTTGGCGAAGGTTTGAGATCGTGGAACTCTAGTTTTATCTCTATTTCCACAGTAAATGTTCCGCGGAACTTCACTCGCTATAGTGCCTCCACTGCAAAACACGTTTTGCTACTTCCACTAAAGGAAATCACCCTCTCTTCCTCCATACACCACCTCTTAGGAGGAACTTCCACACTGAAATCTTTCCTAAAAAAACATCACTATGGCTACATAACATCATCTATAGTCAGAATAGTTTAGATACTAGTGTTGGTTGGATAAAACACTGCTAGACACCTTTCGGACACCGATAAAAATATATAACTACATGTATTTCCTAACACGTTGACAAAAATGGTTTTGCAATTACTAAGGAACATGTGTCTGATCAACATGTGTCTGATCAACATGTGTCTGAGGAACATGTGTCTGATCTGGTTTTCTCATAAAGCCACAGCAAGTAATTTTTATGGATGACATCAGCGCACACATTAATTCTCGCGTAAAAATTTAATGCCCTTAGAAAGTGGACAACATGCCGAAAATGGGTAAATATGTCTGTTGCAATGCATGCCGGAACGTTGATGACAGACAAATGTGAAGAGAGGAAACAAGACAAGGCTCTGATTTTTGTCTTTTACTTTGTAGTGTTGTACTTCATTCCTTTATATGTGATGCTGCCACTGAATAAATACAATCTTGTTTAACAAGGTTTATATGATCTAAAAATGTGAAAACATAGACATTTTTTATCCACCTTGTTTTTTTTTGCCCGCTCGCATTAGGTTTTGAGTCTGCAGAGGATGTCATCCATAAAATGTACTTGTTGTGGCCTAATTAAGTACACAGAATGTCGTCTTATCTTGTAAGTGTTCAGATAGGCCATCTCCCAAAAGATTACAGCAGCATTTGACAACTTTTTGATTCCATCCTACCTAGTCCGGCACGAATGTAACTACTTTAGTTGGACTCTTCCTCTTTCTGTCGCCGCCCTTCTTGTCCAGAACGGGCGTGGCGATTTTACTGAGCGGAGTCTCGGGTTTAGAGGGAGGGAGTGTTTGGTAGGTTCCGTACTCGTCTTCTCCGATGTCTTGCATCAGCCTGAGCATGGCGTCCGAACCTTCAGACGGGGACGACGAACTGCTGTCCTTGTTCGAACCCGAAGAACTCTCTCCGTCCATGTTGTCGAAGAGGTCGAAGAGGTCATGGAGGCTGTGTATGGGGGTGACCTGGCGGGAAGACTGGACCTCCTGACGACACAGCCAGCAGTGCTGCGCAAACTCAGTCTGTCGCCTCTGCTCCGTACGAGAGTCCAACTCTCGCGAGAGCCTCTCTTTCGCGGACGGAGTTCTCGTGGAACCCCAGTTCCCCCATTGCATCTTGGCGGCGAAGGAAGACTTGGCGACGACCGACGCAAAGGCTGTAGCTGCACTCTGCTTTCTTTTCCCGCCATGTTTGGGCCGCTCTGGGTTATCCTTACTTCTCTTTTCCTCTTCATTTTGAACAGCAGCTTTTGAGGCTAGTTTCCACTTTGTCTTTATCATTGCGTTGTCTCGTCTGTAACAGAAAATTCAAAAGTTACTTCATTGTAATAATACATACTATAAAACAAAAGATACAACATGTATAACGTCTACGTCTATTTTATGTGGGTACAAAGTTTAATCTCTGTGCTATGTCAACTACCAACACTTTCATGCCAACTATTCTACTTCTTAATCCGAACCGTAAATAGTACATTCTCTGTGTAATTACTGGTCCATACGGCTACGTACATAGCGACGCATCAGCAAGTCAGCTATGCTCACATCCATTGCGTCAATCCTTAAGTACTACCGTCGTGCTTGGTTGCTACCGGCAAAACACAACTCTAAACACGTTGACAGATCCTTTGCTCTAGACTTTGGCACTTTCCAGCTTATGCAATGACCATGGCCAGAAAATCTACTGACCCGCTGGTGGTTATTGTGGTCAGTTTACACAAGGGATGGGATGACATTGTGAAGTGTCAGTGTGTGGAACAAATAGGATGTGCGTGGAACGTTCTAAGTGATTGATTCTGAAAGAATTGTCGGCTTAGATAATGAGGCATCACAGGAAGAGGTATTCTCCCATGCCGTGTGGACGTCAGTTTCCTCAAATGAGAGAAGTGTTCTTCAGTTTTACTCCCGCTCCTTCAAAAATTGTGCTGTGGGGTCGTGTGGCGTAACGGCAGAGTGCTCGACTCACAACCAAGAGGTCCCGAGTTCGAGTCCTGACATACCACCGATCGTGTGCCCTTGGGAAAGGCACTTTACGCGACTTTCCTCACTTGACTCAGGTGAAAATGAATACGTATTGTCCTGTTCCATTTTTGTTTTATATCTGCGTTGGTGACGTCATAAAATAAGTTGATATAACTTGAGTCTGCCGTCAACATGTCTGATGAAATGTTGGAATAAAAAAAACAAACATAGTTCTGTGTACCGGTTCACTTTAACTAGTTCCGGACTTGTAAAAATGTTTAGGTTCAAGTCCAAAAAAAAAAAAACACGAACGTCTGGAACTATTTTCGGACTTACAAAAATAAACCATGTCACATTCACCTTTTTGTTCTAAACCACCTGAAACATTCAATAGTGAAAAATTGGCGCTGCAAAATGACGAAAACATTGCGATTGGGCATCGTCAAGTGTCGGCCTCTTGCTTCTAAACCCTGGTAGTGCAGTGCTCGCTGTAAAGATTTACAGAGCAACTTTACAGAGCAACAGTAACTTATAACTCACTAAACTGTAACTTGAGACTAGCACCCACACTTAAAGCTTTTAAAGACAGGTTGAAAACTGAACCGATCTGACACCTGATTACCTAATGACGATTTACTGACAACGATGATTTGTTACGTTTCATTACTTTGATTGATTTGTTTATATGATTCATTACTTCTACGTTCAGTTATTATCATATGTTTTATTATTTCCTAAGTTTGAATTTTGACCTCTCAGTTATCATATGTTTTATTATTTCCTAAGTTGGAATTTTGACCTCTGACCTCCATAATGACCATAATGACCATCGATTATTATTGTATTTTATATAATTTATGTTAATTTATTTATGTTATATTACTTTTTGTATTTTATATGTTATTTGTCATTGTAATTGGGCTCCCTTGAAAATCAGCCCCTTGGGGCTGAAGGGACAACCCATACGTCCTTAAGATGAATAAATAAATAAAATAAATAAAAAAAGATGCAGTAAATTTTGCAGTAAAGATGCTCCATTTTCCATTGGGATATGTTCACTGAGAAGTCTCTTCCGTATTTTGTAGATGCCCTGTCTTTAGGTCCAGACTTACAGGTCCGGACCTGAACCTAAACATTAGGACTTGAATACGGACCTGGATGTGGGTTTAGGTACACAGCACTATTTAAACCTATCACACATAGCCGAATATGTCCTCCCGAACACTGCCGAACTCCCCCGAACCATGGCCGGGTCAGCATTGTCGCCGTGGCTGGTGTTCGGCGAGGTTGGCTACTGTTCAACTGCTCTGAATGTTTAAAACATACGGGACGTTGTGCCAAGGTTGGCGCCTGGTTGGCTGCAGGTTGGGAGTAGGTCATCAGTGGTCGGGGAGTGGTTGGCAGTCATATTTGGCTCAAATTTAATTCCAATTTGATTCGATTCGTTTTCTCAAGTAGGCGTAGCCTAAATCTAGTTAGACTGCTCCGAACTTCAGCCAACCTTGGTTGATTGGTGGTCGGGGGAGGGTTCTGAATTTGCAGGTTCTTACAAAACACGACGCACGATTCAGGGCGACGATTGTACAGAAAACGCCAAAGTCGTTTGCTTTTCTGTGTATCACTTAACATTACAGCATCACTTCGTACACATTTTAAAGTCATTACTGTCAAGGTCACACATAAATCAGCTTTGTTTGCTTATACTTGAAGTCAGAACTGAATGCCACATGGCAAAGTCTCACTAGCTACTTTAGTTAAGTAAAAGTCTCCGAAAGAGGCAGCTGTACAACTATTGACTTGTATTAGCGCAGTACTCAAGTTTGGACAAGAACGGTACACTACTGCAAGTGTGTAACGTTAATTAGTTTGAATGCGCTATGTACCGTATTGGATATAGCATTGGAGATAGATACAAATACAAATTGAATACAAAACATCTACAAAAATCTTTCCAACGTCCCTAAATGAAACAATTCAGCCAAGAACGCTAGATATGTGATGTGATTGTATCCCAAGTATAAGAGTACGTATACTGTGTGTTCTTACTGGATAATAATATTGCACGGCCACACTGACCTAATTTTATGGATGACATCCTCAGAAGACCCCCAAACTAGTTCGCGCGAGCGAAAAAAAATTCCCGTGAAAATAAAAATGCTGCTAAACCACAGGAATACAAAGCTGGTATCGTGAATTTGCGGCAGTATATAGCGTCTGTTACGACAAGCCGGCACATGCTGGCTTTTATCTTGAATTTATTGAATTTCTTGAGCTTCGGCAGTCTGGGTGCCATTCCCCGTAGCTAGCCTTGGAGAACGCGATCTTTTCTTTTTAAGAACAGGCGAAAATCAATGCGCGCGCGGATGTCGTCCATAAAATTGAATCAACGTGGCCTTACATTGATGCTAGGGACATTGACTTCTAGCAAGCCTTCAGCGTTTGGTAAGCATATAACGTAACGATGACATGTTTACCATACAAATCAGCAAGAGTAGAAGTTACCTTGTGGTGGTATCAAATGGTTTGATTGATTTATACACGAAATATACTCCGTACCCCTCACAATATCACGCTATGACCCAAGAAGTACACCCTTCTAACGTTACTATAACATGGCGATACTACATGGCAATACGGATCTCTATACATTCTGAATACGAACGAGACATTACATGTATCGTGTGTCTGTCTATAAATCCAACAACGCATTAGGCCACAGCATGTAAATTTTATGGATGACATCCTCCGCAGACACCAAATCTAATGCAATAGGGCAAAAATAAACAAGGCGGGCCAAAAGAAAAGATTCCTATAATTTCAAATTTTGACATCATAAACTTTGTTAAACAAGAAATGATACCTGTATTCTGCTAATTTTACTTTAACTATTATGACACATATTTGTCCCTGAAAAGTTAAAGTTTTCAATCATTGTACATGTGGTTCCGATTCAATGGGAACATCACATGTAAAATGAAAGACAGAGGCAAGACAATAAGTCAGAGCCTTGTCTTATTTATATTACGAAAGTCGCTGTACTTTCGTTGTGTCAAAAAAGTTCTCTCTCTGTTTATCTGCCATCCACGTTCCGGCATGGCAACAGACATCTTTGCCAAGTTTCTGCATGTTGACTACCATCAGAGGGCAACAAAATTTCTTGTTTTTCTTTTTCAAAATCAGGCAAAAATCAGTGCGCGGGCTGATGTCATCCATAAAAATTACTTCCTGTGGCCTTACTGACACAGAAGTGCCGGAGCGATACGCATGCCTGATTCGTACTGGCCCGGACTGAGTGCACGTACTGACAGATATTAGGCCAACCTGGTAACCAGACCGCCGTCAGCTCCCCGGTAGCTCTGCGGTACCGGGAGTGTTCCCCGCCCGCCGAGGTCGGTTAAGACAGACCGGTGAATTTGTATAGCGTTCGTTTTAATTGATTTCGGACTTCAGTAATCAGAAAGACTAACTGGAAAGATAGGTTGTCATAAAAAATGACTGGGGCCGGTAAAACACCCCTAAGCGACTTTCAGGTGTATGAAAAGAAGGGTACCAGGCTAATATGTTAGGAGTGGTGAGCAGTTTTACCAACCAAAATCGCAAATACTAGTGCTTAACTAGATTTCAACCTATTGAAAGCAGTGTGACAATCTCACAGCCCTGTTCTTGATATTAGAAAATAGCTGGTTGTACCAGATCGGTGTATGTCATACTCCTTGCAAGTTTGGTGGGCCAACAATCTTGTTTCATAACTCGTCCTAGGGTTTTGAATTACATAATGATACAGTATAATCGTATAGTCATCTATGATTACGAGTAATTAAACATAAAGACAGTGAAAATATTTGACATTGCAAAGGCTGTGGAAGACGAAATACACTTTATCTCAAATTGTTCCTTTCATAGCAACGCTCGAAATGAGTTAACTATTCAAACTTCTACAATTCATCCCAATTTTACTAATTTAAAACTTACAGACAAAGAAAAAACTATTCTTCTTTTAACTTCCCAAAACCTACTGATTTTGGAAAAGGTGGGACATTGCGTCTTCCATGGTTTAAAAAAGAGAGGTCAAACCCCTTAGACATAGTTTTAGACATAGCTATAGCTTTAGACAACTGCCTTTTATCATATAGATTTTAGTTATTTTATACTCTGCTTCATTGTTCTTTTATGTTTGTAACTTTCAAATAGCCTTCGGGCACGAATTTAAAATGAACTTCTTATATAGTCGTCAAAGACTCTATCTATCGTGACAAATTTGAGTTTTGAGACCAAAGGTTCTGACATATCGTGGCACCACAATTGTGACACTTTGAGATTGACTCTACAGGAACATATACATAATATACATGTAGTTTAGCCACCTGTTGCTAAAGCACTGTTACCGCAAGTCAATATAATTATAACTTATTCCATACATGTATCACACAGTATTTGGAATTACAATTAAAAAAAAGAGAATTCACAAAGTATAGCCTCGCGATGTCACGGTGGACTTACTACCTTCAAAGGTTCTGATATCAGGTTACCCTAGCTGTAATTGTGGGGAAGGTAACAAGAACAACTACTTCTCATCAAAATTCCTGTTTTGCTTTCCACAAAATTATTTCCCAGACGATCTAGTGTCTTCAAAAGTATAAAAGAAGGGACACCGTATGGCGTGTTTAGAGTGGAAAACACCGGGAAGTGTTCTAATGGTACCCGGTTTGTTGATGTACACCTGTCGCCATTGTTGCTCAGTATTATTCTACCCTTGTCCGTAAACTCAGTTGAAGCCCCGCGGGCCAGAGTTACCTTTCCTCCCGCTCCTGTCACACTGCGACTGCCGGTGGCTCCCTATAACTCCCCTCGTGGCCCTGCCTTCAACTTGTCAAATCCGCCAACAAATTTCCAAATAAACGACTGTGTGAAAAGACTTAGTTAGTCTCCCTGATCCCGTGGGCTTTGTTTCAGGCCCTAACGTTGGCAATGGCGCGTATATCGCCTTCGCGATCGCCCCTTTTATTCAGGCACGCCTCTGTTCTACTCTAAAGGAAGACAAAGGCCCCTCTGGTCGCCAAGGGGGGTATAGTATAATTGATAGCCTAATAACAGTTCACAAAGCACCGGTATTGAGATACCCGCCCGGCTAAGCTAACCCAACTAACACCGGGGGCTTGCTACGGGGGAAGGAAAGTAAATCGTGTGTAATAAAAGAAGAATAGGTCTCTATTACTGAAGGCTACGGACATGAATTGGGTAGGATTCTGATGTTTGTCGACTTGACACAGATATGGCGGCTGGGTGTAACTTAACATTGCTGTCCACGTGCTTTTTGTGTAGGGTTTGTTGGCACAACCTCATTCCACATTCTGGTTGGTAGGGTCGCAGTGTCTGTGTATTGTTTGTTACTAGGGGATGGGGGAGGGGGGCATCTAGGGTCAAAACTACCGGGACAGGACCTGCATTTTGATAATACATAGCTAACTACAGTAGATTGGAGAGCTGTATAGGAGCGCATTCTGATGTATTCTAATTATGTAACATAGTGCTTGTACTAGACAGTTGTGGCATGTGTCTTTTGTTAAGATTTTTACTTTGCTAGGACTGTCATAGATACAAACAAAGAATACCTTAAACATTCAAAAATAGTATATTGTAGAATGACGATAAAAACAGAAAGGGAAAGGGTCTAACCCAAAACTACATTATAATAGTGGCTCAGAATATCTATAACGGAGTTATTGAACAGTATTTCCCGCAAAAAGCACACGAAGTGAGTAATTTAATATTATAGGTGTTATACAACGTATTACTGGTAGATATCTTTCTTTTAACTCAAGTACTAGTCCGAAATGCACAAAAGAAGTTGGTTATATAAAACTCGAAATATGATTTATAAGTTTAAGAGCACTTAGATAGACGGGGGTGGTCGACAAGCTAGCACAAAAGCACACGGAAACTGGTGGTATAACAGTTGAAACAGCAACAATATACAAAGCCTCCATACATACGTACAGAGTCTGAATGAATTTACAGGTGCAGGTGCACCTAGTGCCGAATCAAAAAAGCACGGCCCCTCAAACACTCAGCTACTGTTGTAATAATGTAACGTTTAAGTGTTAGCAAATATTTTCAACCTGTTCCTTAGCGATATTGTCAGCCAAGCGGTCGGTTAACTACTTAACACGTCGGTGAGATTAAATTTGTCAAGATTTATATTTCATTATTGTGATACTAGTCGCTGTAATTGCCAGACTGAAGGGCAAAAAGCCTTGGAAATCGGTGGTTGGGAAGCAACATGCCAAGCTGAGAAACGTTTTAAACTACGTTACACCTCGCTAACTGGTCACTAGGCAGATAATTTAAACTTTTGACTATAATTTGTGGGTTCGTGTCCTGACATGCCTGCGATCTTGTGCCCTCGGGAAAGGCACTTTACACGACTTTCCTCACTTAACTCAAGTGAAAATGAGTATTGTCCTGTACTGAATTTTAATTTTGTACTCTGTGTTGGTGGCGGCATAAAATAAGTTGGTATAACTTGAGTGTGCCGTCGCCATGTTTGGTCATGAAATGTTGGAATAAAAAAAAAAGATAATTTAAACTATACACGTACCTGAAGATAGGCGAGTCATAAACACTTCACTGTATCCTGTTCTCAGCTTTTAAAACCCCTACTCATTCTTGTACAATCACAAGATAAAAATACGTGCGAAAGACGGAATACATGTACGTTCTATCCATGTATTCTGGCGTTGCCTTGTGATACTAGTTTGCAAATCAGTTAGGATATCTAGATGGCCAAATATAAACATATCGGTGCCATTTACAAAAGATATCGAGTAGCTAAACGCCCTCATGGCAAACATATCACTTACCGTGGGCTGGGTACCTTTCAACAGAGTAGATGGTATCATTCATTTATCTATCCAACGGTATACTAGTAACGTCCTACCATCTGTATCTGAACGGTCTGTGCATATAGTGCATAGAGCATTCACTGAAGCAAAAAAGGAAGGTGGCATGACAATACCCAGTTATTAGGAAAATGTGCTGGTTACTTACCTGTCAGTGTATGTTTTTCTTTAGTATCAAACGCCTAGTATTATTCTGTGTTTTTTTGTAGAATTACATCACCTAAAGTATTGTTTGTGGGCTATGCCGTCAAACAAGCTCTTAATTCCACTATAATACCCTCCAAACTAGCCAAACATAGTACTGTTATTTCAATTTTCTGAACATTATTCCGCTTTTGTGTGCAATATAGGTCATCACACAATTTAAAAGAATACCATGTACCATATTATTATGTATGCTGTACCAGAGTTTTTTCCCTGTGTGTTTTAAAGCCACGCATTTTGAAATTCGAATTCTGTATCTGAAACTTCGCGCCAATAGCGGATATAAGATCTAGCATACGTAAACATTATCTCCTGATTGTACAGCGCTGTAGGTAAAGGAAATAGTCACACAAGGAAGGATAATATTGGCTCAAAGAAGTGGTGTCTAACTAACATCGTTACTTCATACTGATCTAGTACTGCGTGTAACGTTATATCACGCCCAAGCATGGCTAAGGCCACACCAATTTAATTTCTTGGTTAACGGATTTTTTCTAGAAAAATAATGGAGCGGGCGGGCGAAAAAAAAAACAGGCCTAGGCATCCTACTATGGCCCAAAATGGTACGATAGGAGCCATGAAGTCAACACACCAGGCTGGTTGAAAATTTAAACAATGAATTTTGAATGATACCACTGCATTGAAAGATGGAATAACTGTAACAACTAGGAAGAAAAGGACTGTTTTAACTGTTCGGGGAAAAATATGAGCATTTTGCAGTTGATTCTGGATTTTTTTTGGCAAATCAGAAAAAATGAAGCGGGCGAATCCGTTAACCAAGAAATCAAATTGGTGTGGCCCAAGCATATAATTTCTTTATCCATGAAACATGAACCAAACTGACTTCGGACACTGCCCTCTCCCTGTTTGGTCAGTCTGTTGTCCATGACAACCTGGTACTTAGTTCTGTGGTACTGTGACCTCAGCTCGCTATCAAACTTATATATCCTATCAAAGAATGTTTAAATATTAGAGACTACACGTTAGAGAATATTTAAACCTTTATTGTTGCCGCTGACATATATTCTGTACGTAGTTTGCCACATACATATATTCTGTACGTATTCTTTACCTTATTCATACAGGTATTTTTAAGCTTTGTTAGATCTTTAGTTGTAGACGACCATACAAAAGTCCCTGTACTTTTTGTTGAGTCAAAGAATCTCTTAATTAATAATTATAGTCCAATACTTACTTGCTATTGCACGAGTCGCTATTACCTCATATTGCACGGATGAAGGCACAAGTTTGGACTGGTATGGAGTACGGACAGTCTGTCTGTCACAGAGTTAGATCTGTAGTTGTAGACAACCATACAAAGTCCCTGTACTTTTTTTTAGTCAAACAATCTATTAAGAACGGTGATACAGTCCAACACTTACTTGGTATTGCACGAGTCGCTATCACCTCATATTGCACGGATGGAGGCACAAGTTTGGACTGGTATGGAGTGTACGGACAGTCTGTCTGATTGTCACAGAGTTATATCTTTAGTTGTAGACGACCATACAGAAGTTCCTGTACTTTTTTGTTGAGTCAAAGAATATCTATTAAGAACGGTGATACAGTCCAATACTTACTTGCTATTGCACGAGTCGCTATCACCTCATATTGCACGGATGTAGGCACAAGTTTGGACGGGTATGGAGTATACGGACGATCTTTCTCTGGTACTTTTGCTACCGTGAACATCTGTATCTGTATCTGTATAGCCGGTATAACCGCCTTTCGGCGTAACACACCAGCTGACATAAAATGAATAACAGAACACTTACTTGCTATTGCACGAGTCGCTACAACCTCATATTGCACGGATGGAGGCACAAGTTTGGACGGGTATGGAGTACGGACGATCTTTCTCTGGTACTTTTGCTACCGTGAACATAAAATAAATAACAGAACACTTACTTGGTATTGCACGAGTCGCTACAGCCTCATATTGCACGGATGCAGGCCCAAGTTTGGACTGGTACATGTATGGAGTACGGACAGTCTTTCTCTGGTCGTCACAGAGTCGTAGTACTGTCGTTTGGCGAACACACACTCAACACTATTCCGTCGTCAACTGTTGACATGTAACAGTTCTGTGTTGTGAAGAGCTCAACCTTTATCCCCCATCCGTGTGTACATGTCAACACCACCCCACAAGTATCAAAAGAGACAGAACGGGGTCCTTTCAAGTGGCGTGAAATTAAGTACTATCCAGCGCCACTTGACACTATTTTTCTGTTTGATGGTGGCAGTCAATGGTCAATACATCAAACCTAGCTTGAACGTTGTTTTTTTCTAATTCCTATACCAAAAGACCAAAGATTCTGTCCATTTTGTCCAAACAAGATAGAAAATGAGCACCATTTTATAATGGATTGTACTATACAATGATAAGCGCCTATTACTGTTAACCTTTCTTTCCGCTTGTTCAATTGATTTCAATACGTTAGATCCTATAGATAAATTCAACTACATTCTCAGGGGAGATAACCAATACAGTGTTCAAATAGGAAAATGCATTAAAGAATGTTTCGATCTTAGAGACACATGTTAGAGAATAGTTAAACCTTTATTGTTACATCATACATATACTCTGTACGTAAGATAGCGTTATCCATACATGTATTTACATGTAGCTTTGTTAGAACTTTAGTTAAGTTGTAGAAAACCATGCAAAAGTCTCTGTACTTTTTTTTGTTGTGTCAATAAAGAATCTACTATAAAAACAGTCAAGCTTCAGAATACTCTCCAAGCAGATGTTGGAGGGAAAGATTGAAGCCTTCTTCTTCGCCCCAGTCCTTTGATAGTCTTCTTAGATGTTAATGTATGGTAATTTCAAAATAGATTTTGTAGTTAAAAAGATGTCAGAGATAGTTTGTTGATAGTTCAGATGTATCTCGTTGATATATGCAAAAGAAAACAAGTATTGAAAGGAAGAGATGAACAATACGCAAGA